CATTGAATTCACCATCCACCAATCTTCGATATCGGTCGAATCATCTGTTGGTTTACCCAACTTTCCGTCAATGAACCCGAGCTTTCTCTTTGCTCTGAGGGCGTTCCTCATAGATCTCGCCCATTCCTCATAGTTCTCACCTTTCAATTGGATAGGTGAGATGATCATTCCAGGGTTGTCAGACGGGTGCAAGTAGTATGGCGAGAAGATGGCCATGCCCTTCCCTACACCTTTTCTGCTGTCTTCTTCTCCACCGGTCATGGTGGAAAATCTATCGACGGAAGGCTCTTGGCCGCGGTAGGCGAGTTTGGACTCGTCCAAGTCTTCGATCTCAAGAAACAGATTCCCCTGTGTCAGTTGTGCGGCCACTCTCGCTTGGTTTGACTCGTTCGGTACCCAGGACTAGGTAAACACTTCCTGTTCTCAGGTGTGGCGACGATGCTCTCGTTAAGTTTTGGGATTGCCGCGGTCGGGCTCGGAAATAGCACCAGAGAGGTAGAGGGCTTCTTTAAGATCGGCTTCGATGGTTTTTGGCACCAGGGTTCTTCTGTGTGCCTTGATAACCAACACCACAGTAGGTGAAGAAAATGACAATCTTGCGCCGCTTGTACCTCCTGCGATCGCAGAACTTCTTCGCGTTGAATGAAGCCGTCACACGCTTGAATCCGAAGCGTCAATATAGAACCGGCCGGGAGGGTCGATATAGAACCGGCGGAGACGCTTCAGAGGCCGAACCGATTCACTTTCAAGACCACAAGGACTACATCCGGTGTGGGTTTGCTTCACCCAAGAGGAGTGCAGCGCAAAGTTACGGGTGTAGTGCCACTGCTCTGTTTCCGTTTGCCGACAGACCCTCCTCTTTTTCTTCCCGCAGCAACCTTGTTAGACCCTCCTCTTTATCTTCTCGAAGCACCCCCGCTCTGATACCATGAAAAACTTTGTGGAAATTGTTGTGATTTTATTATGCAAGGTACATCCTATATATACAAGTAGGGGATTTAGTTTCAGTAGGAATCCATTTAGTTTCAGTAGAAATTATTGTGATTTTATTGTGCAACGAGCTTCTGAAACCAAACAAAGTAGGATGCCATAAACGATGAGAGGCAGAGCAACAACATTTCTAATAGGAATTACCACACGTTTCTTTTTTTATTTTATTTTTTACATCTCACAAGTTAATTTATCTCAAAACTTGATAAGTTGAAATTTTTGTAAATTTCCATAAGAGTAGCATTAGATATTTCAGCCTTGATTGGGATTGGCATAGTTTTAACTTTTTTTGGTATACTCTGCTGTATCATAGCTGTATCAATTCAAAAAGAACCAAATCAAATTCCACATTTTGGAACTAAATTATATTTCAAAAGGTGGGGTAGGTTGACTCTAATCAAGGCTATGCTCTCCAATTTTCCTAATTGGTAGTTCTTTGACTCATTGAACCCCCAATAAAAGAGCATATTCAAAACCTTACTTTCTTATGAGCTTCTGCAAAATAAAAAAAAAAAGGGAAAAAGGGGGAAATAAAACTTCAGGATTATAACTAAAGAAGTTGGTTTTCTACTAACAAGAAATTGTTGGAACTTACCATAACTGTAAAATGTGTTTCATATTCAAAAAGGCTGGCCTTGTCTAAAGAATATGTATTATTTGCTAGTCTAACTTAGGGGGAGAGAAAAAGAGCTCAATGTCAAGGATTGCATCTTAAATGCCATTAAAAGGGATAACCTAGTGTTACTTGCCTCAATGCAAGCTCCATTGCTGGAATGAAGTAGGATTGTTAGATGACACATCCCATTCCTTCACTTGCCTATCACCCAAGGCTGCATTTGGATTGGATTCTCACTTGTTTTTGCTCAACTTCAAACCAAAAGCCTGCAAAATTTAAAACTAATTAATAAAATTGCTTTGAAATTATACTTTTGAAAAAATAAACATAAAGATGTCAAAACTCAAGTATTACCTGTTCATTGCTTCCCTTATTAATCAAAGCATGAACTATTCAATACTTCAACAACCATAATCAATTAAAGAGAAAGAGAAACATAAGTTGCTTGATTACTTTAGATTATAATCCAAACCATATTCATCAAACTACCAAAATTAAAGACTCACATAGCTACACCAAGTGTCAACTCAACAAAACCAAAAAGAAGAAAAAAAACTAACTAGCATATATCAAAATCAGTCCCAAATAGTTTATAATAACCAATTTATCCATACAACCATCATAGACAAACTATAAAAGATAGATCAAGACTTCAACTCTCCAAGGAAAATGACCAAAGTTCAAGCTAATGAGCAATCCTTCTTGCAAATGACCAATTAAATTCTTTAAGGCTCCAAACTATCCTTCATGGGAATGACCAAAGTTTAAGCCTACAAAAAAAAAAAAGAGAACGAGCAAGAAAAATATAAAACCACATGTTAATCCAAATCTTGGAAAACATCAATAACAATTCATAAATATTTAAAAGAATAAAAATTATTTTCCATCTTACATATGCTAATTGGATGCACCATTTGCATGAGCACCATTTCCATCAAAATTTGTGCTTGCACTTTCACTTCCACTTGGATTTGAGGATGGAGTCATCAGAGTTTCAATAGATTTATTAATAGGAGAGATAGAAGAAGCAGGTGATTCATCAAAAGAAACTAAAACATGCAAAGAGAAACATAGAATACGATTACTACATTATTTTAAAAAGATGATAAGCTTAATACCAAAAAAATATATATGAATATAGTTACTTACATGGCGTTTTTGGTTTAGGGAGTGCTTCAATTCAATCTTGTGCACAAACCAAAGCCTCCACTATTTATGGAAGCAATGAACACCGATAAGGATCCAACACTCTACCACCTATACTGATTGCTGACTCTGATGCAGTGGTTGCTTGAATTGTTAGGACATCATGAGCCATTTTTGAGAGAATTTTGAACTTAGAAGAATTAATCGACCACCAATTTAGCACATCAAAATTTGGCATTTTTGGAATCAAGGACTCCTCCAAGTATTGGTCCAATTTTGATTTTTTGTAATAGAACATTGATGTTGTTGTTTCATTACTTGTGCACCATTTTTTAAAGCCTTTGAGATACTTCTTCTTACTCTCTTGCATCACACCCGAAGCTGAACTTGTTATGGATGATTCAAAGGGATTACTCTCTTCATTAAGAGTGAATGAGGTATCATAATTTTCATAATGAAAGTAAAGGTTATAAAGGCATTCACACACTTTTGCCACTTCATCTTCACCCACATAACCATAAACCCTATGCAAATTATACCTCACAAATGCCAACTTGTATCTTGGATAAAAAACCACTGCTACTTCCAAAGGTAAACTAACCTCATCCCAATATTTTTTGAACTTTCCCAACATTTTCCCAACCACTGCTTGAATATAATCATACTTGCTCAATAGCCACTCATCAATCTACACATGAATCTCACAAATATCGGGAAAAAACAAGTTGGATGTTGGATATGTAGTCCCTGAAAATGTATTAGTTGCCTCATAAAAATATTCCAAACATTCACAAACAACTTGACCAATATCCCACTCCTCAAAAGATGGATTAAGATTATATTCTTTATCAATTTGTTCCAATCGAGCAAATGTAGCCCTATACTCAAGTGCAGTTTTGAGCATATCATAGGTTGTATTCCATCTTGTGGGGAAATTCAAAACCAACTCCTTTTTACTATGAATCTTCAATTGACTTTTTGTCATTTCAAATTTCAGATTTCTTTGGCTTGAAGCTTGTAGATAATTGACCGATTCTTTGATTTTTCCCATTAAGTGCCTAACAATATCCAACCCATCTTGCACAATGAGGTTCAAAACATGTGTTGTGCAACACACATGAAACAATTCCCCTAACAAAAGAAGTTTACCCTGCCCAGAAAGCCACTCCTTCATGTTTCTAATTATAACATCATTCACAGAAGCATTATCAACAATGAAAGTCATCACTTTACTATCTTTGATGACTCTAGTAAGGTTTACAGCATCATGCTTCTCTTTGACAGTTCAAAAACCTATAATCTTCTTTCTCAATTGCCATTTATCACCAATGTAATGTGTAGTTAAACAACAATATCCAATATTTTGCCCTGATGTCCACATATCAGTAATGAGACTGACCCTGGAATCAAGCCTATCAAGAATGCCATAAAGATTCTCTTTTTCATCCTCATAGATTTTCTTGCAATCATTCCTAATTGTGTTGCGTCAAACCATTTTAAACATGGGATTAAGACCAGTAGCCCAAATCTCAAAAAAACTCATGCTCTATCATGCTAAATGGTTGGTTATGTTTGATTAGGTATCTTGCAAAGTCATATCTACTCTTTATGGGATCATATTTCCATCCCTTTAGTCTGCGGGTTGACTCACTTACATTTGTAGAAATTGTCAACATTTGTTGTTAAATTTTTCTCTGTCCTTTTGGTAATCTTTGTGGACATCTTGAGACATGATTAGCTAGATGAGTGGTTCCACTAGTGCTTGTTGCATTAAAATCTTGTTTACAATAATTACAAACAACCCTTTCCTCATTTTTTGCATTAAAGATTATGTCAAAATGCTTCCACACTTCAGATGTTCTTTTTCTTTTTCTAGAGACCAATGGGGCAATGCAGCACTAGGACTATTCACATTTTCACCATTTTCACTATTGGCATTAGGTCCAGTGCTAGATTGAGAAGGATTAACCGATCTAAGCATTTAATATTTTCTTCAAAAGTAAAAATGGAACCTAAATAAAGATTACACAAAATAAAGTTTAAAAAATATTAGAAGTTTAAAACTAGCAAGATAAATGGATAATCATAAAATAAAATTACTAAAAAATGAGAAGCAATAAATATTTACAATGTCATTTAGGAATTAGGACAAAAAAATTTGCAACATAACCATTATCTACATGAATAAACCAATTCATAAATCTATAATCTATTTTATCTTTTCTATCTCATTTAAGCTGAAAAATCTAGTTCATAAGTCATAACCAAAAACCAATAAACTAATAATCATTATCTAAAATATTGTCAGAATTCAATTCTATCTCATTAGAATAGGAAAATCAATAAACCAATTCCTAAATCTGTAATCTATTCTATCTTATTTAATTTGAAAAATCTAGCTCATAACTAGAAACCAAAAAACCAATAAATCACTATAAGAAATTTGTAATCTATTCTATCTCATTAGAAATTTAGCATGTGAAAATGAGCTGAAAAATCTAGCTCATAAACCAATAAATCAATCTATAATCTATGAAATCTATGAAAATCAAATTACCTTGAGAAAAGAGGCATGGGATTGATGGTGGCAGGCGTGGGTTACAGGCGGTGGGCCAAGTGTTAGTGTGTGATGGGGTGGGTTCCTGGCAATAGTCGTGGGCTGCAGTACAAGGCCAGTGATGCTGGACGGTTGAGGGTTGCTTGAGCTTGAGTAGTGGCAAAGGAGACGGCGTTGAGCTTGAGCTTGAGCTTAAGCTATGGCTGGTGACTGGTGCTCAACCGCTATCACTGATGTTGCCACCGGTGATGGTGGTTGCTTGGGCAGCGAGTCACGGTCTCACTGAGACTCTGAGAGAAGAGAGATAGAGGAAAGATGACTAGATGAGCGACGACGATGTCCGATAAAGGACTGGTGGTTGCTCGGATGATGAGGGGCGGTGACCAGTGATGGATTGATGGTGGTTGCTCGAGCAGTGTTTGGCAACGGCGAAAGGAGTGACGGAGGGTTAGGGTTTTAGGGTTTTGAAACTTGAGAGAGAGAGGTAAGGTTCAACAAAAGACTTAAAGAGTTCGATTTTCAAACTCATTTCTCATTTTCTTTTTTTAACCTTTATATATATATATATTTATCGGATCGGATCAATGTATATTCGAATTTGATTCGATTATACTGAATCTCAGTCTCGAATTCAGATTTCCGAATACCGTTTACAGGCCTATTGGGCAATGCTTCAGGTCAATGGGCTGATATCGCACAACACAACTATGCGGGTTGTGCTGATATAACATTTTATTTTTAATTTTATTATAATATTTCATTTTATTATTGCATATATAAACAATTTTATATATATCAAAATTCATATAAATAAAATTTTAAGACTTTTTTATTTTTTGTCTAATTTGTTAATTTAATTTAAAATTTTTATTATTTTTTATTTTTTTTAAATATACCTCTCATGGCTTGGCTCGGTCCACAGCCAGTTTGGCCCAAGGCTTGGCCTGTAGACCAGCCTGACCCGCGAAACAAGCCCGCATGGGCTTGGGTCGTGAGCCATGCCAGCCAACCCCCCAAAGTATCCTAAAGAGAGGGAAACACACGTGGCCCATATCATGTCGGCCCAACACGACCTGATTTACACTTCTAATTAGAGGTACAATGAGAATGATGTCATCTAATGTCCTACCTCATTCTTAAATACATAACCCTTCTCCTACTTCTATTCCCTTTAGGTCACTTCATTTTACTTCTCAAAAGCAAATAAGACATAATCAAATCTGAAGCAAGAGGACACCAAAATTTATACCCAGCCTTTTTACAATTACATGCATTTACAAGTAAAACGCAGCCTTAATCACAAAGAAAACTCAATTTTGTTTCTCAGTCAATAAAAGCTAACCTAAAGGTTTTACCGAATTGATATTCCAATCAAAATGCCAATCACAAATTAAACCTAATTTAGTTTATCAAATTATCCATTCCAAAATTTCCTAATAAGACTTAATTCATGACTACGTTATTGTTGTTATTAGAGTATCACATGCAAATGAATGTACAAGAGGGGAGAGAACGGGTGGGGAAGAGGAAAATAAATGTATAAAAGCAAAAGCAAAAGCAACTATTATTGTATGTTCAGGACCTGAAGAAAAAGCAATTATTGGTATAGACATTATTATTATTATTATTATTATTTATGTTGTTGGGGCAAATTCGTAAATTGATTAACTCAATCCTTACTATTTATATATTATCTTAACATATCCTTAAGTTTTCCAATAATGGTCTAAAACCTCCTTCACTATTAACTTTCTGTCACATTAGAAACCTGGTTAGCTCGTCCATGTCACTTCGGTGATAGCTCGAAGTCACTGCTATGTACAGCTTCTTCAGCAGACAATTAAGCCGAGATTTCTCTTTTCTCACATCATTTTTCTCCTCCATTTCAAATCCTAAAATTGGACGCCAATCCTTCCTTCCTGTATTGGTCTTCGTCTCGAGAAGAATCGCACTAACAGTCTTGCCATAACCAAAAGCTCCTTCAATTTAAAGCTTGCATCCACCGGAGAGGAGGCAGGCGGAAGCTGCTCGTATAAGAGAGAAGTATGTTGATAGAATACCAGCAGTAATCGTGGAGAAGGCTGAAAGGAGTGACATTCCAGCCAAATCTTCGTAAAGTATTTATTTTTTCAGATATGCCAACTTCGTGGGTTGATGTTGCCGAATTTTCGGCTGAGAAGCCAATTGCTGTTTCTTTTGCTAGTAGTGGTGTTGGTAGCACTTCACATCCTGCCAGATCTTCTTATGTGCCTCTACATCTCCATAACCGGCCATCTTCTCCGGAATCTCTGATGGCTCTAGCACACAGTACTCAACCTAGTGGAAGTCATTGGGGTCAGGGGCGAAGTTAAGATTTTTTATTAAGAAGGGTCAAAACCTAGAAAATATAGATAGGGGGTGTTAAACCTTAGGAAACATGAGTAAATGGACTAAAATATAAGTGAAACTTAAATAAATTTAAAGGGAATTTTGAAAGCATAGGGGGGCCATAGCTCCCCTCTGCCACCCCCTGGCTCTACCCCTGATTAGGGTGGTCCTAAGCTTGATTTGCGGCATCTTGGATATGGTATTGGTGGTCGCCTTGGCAGTGATGGTGGTTGGCAATGGACCTAAAGGGAGAATCTACAAAATTGAATCGACCAACGAATAAATAATTTTCATCAGTTTGGTTTTATATATTTTGAAACTTTAAAGAATAGTGAAAGAAAAATTTGACAATTTTTTTTTTTCTATTAGCATTTAAAGATGATATCAATTGTCATTAAACTTGAAGGTAATTTAAGATGATACATAAACAGTAATAAAGTAAGTCAATTTCCTAAATTATTAGAGCACTTTAATAAATTTATTCTTATTCTTCTTATTCTTTTTATTATTATTATAATTATTATTATTATTATTATAATTATTATTATTATCTAGCCATTTATGCTTTTAGCTGGGCTTAAGTTAAGTGGATTAGGATTAATTCGGTATCATGAACTAAGATAGACCCAAACTGAACCAAACATTAATTGGACAATTGGATTTGGGTCTGAACTGATTAGACAGGATTTTAGTTGGTATCTATCATTACCTATGATAATAACAACTTAATTAGGACTTCAAAATTACAAAGACCACCCCTGTATTATGAGGTCTATGACAAAGACCCCCTATATTTTGTTTTGCGATAAAGACCCCCCTATACTATGACCGTGAGACAAAGACCCCCTTCTGTTAGCCTTCCATTGAAGTCCGCTGTTATAATATTTTTTAATCCCCATATTACCCTTATAATAATTATTTGAACAATTGGAAGAAAAATACTGTTCATCTTCCTCGACCTCACGATACACGAACAGCAGTGGCAATAGACTTCTGTTGAAGTCCTCCCTCTCTCCCTCTCTCTCCCCCTATCTCTCTTCTTCCCCTTCCCCTTTCTCTCCTCCCCTTTTTTCTTTGAGACTTCCTCTGTTTTCTGTTCCTTGCAGATGGAGAAAAATCGGACTAGACACACCAAAACAAAATTTCTGGGTGAACATCGACACCGGAAGCAGCTTGAGTTGGGTCCAATGCCAACCCTGTACTAACTGCTCCAAAATTATAGTTCATCTGATGATTATATAGAGTTACAACAACAACCATATCTGAGTTCATTATGATACTAACCCATCTCTGATTTGTGA